TTGCAGTTGATCAGCAGACGCTGTTGCTTTGAGAGATGCCACATTATGTTGTATATTTGTTAATGTTAAATTCACAGAATAGCACAAAAAACACACATTATTTATCCATCAAACAGTTTCTGTGTTGGTTTTCCAGAAAGTTAACAACACAATATATTTTTATTTATAATAGTCAGATTGACCTTTCTATTTCCAATTTTGCTAAAGTTACAAAGAGGAGCAGAATTAAAGAAGCATAATGAGACATTAAGAAGAAAAGTTTGGTATCTCTATCTATTTGATATTTCTATGAAGATTTTCTCTTTTGTAAGCGAGGCGCATTTAATGGAAAATAATCTTTCCTTAAAGTACAATTGTAGTTATTTTACAATAAGACTTTTGTACTGAAATGGAAAAACACACCGTGTGCTGAATAACTTACACAGCGGGACATTTGGAAAATTACACTGAAGTCAAACATGAAAGAAAAACTGGAGAATAAAGGCACATTCAAAGAACTGACAGGAACTACAAAGCAAATAATGAACCGAATAACAGGTATCACAAAGGAAATATAGGACATGCTGGCTGTGAAATAAGAAGGGTGTTGAGCTGCTTGCATATGACTCAAAACGGGATGTAAGACGGAGATTAAATGTGTCACTTCTCTGTGAATCATACTCAAAGATTGGAAACGCATGAGCTCTCATACTTGAACTTGAACAAGCAGACTATACATAACCGCCATGATGGAGGCTCTGTGGTGACCTGAAGGCGAACCAGACTCATGTTTTCATCCCAGACAAATGCACTGTGACGTGCCGAGGGAACATGAGACCTGGCAAAAAGCAGCAAAAGAGCGGCAACAAGAAAGTGGTGTAAAGCCGATCCTGCAGGGCATCAGCCTGCCAACATTTCTTTTTAGAGTTAAAGGAAGAGTTTGACATGTTGTGAAATATGGGTCTTTGCTTTTTTGCTGAGAGAGATCAACACCACTCTCATGTTGTGTTTGTGGAAGCTCTTCAAAAACCAACACGTGTAAACAGCAACTTGCCAGTTTTATAATTTTTATGCTGGACTGTTCGAGTGTTTGCTGGCAGCACGAAGAACACAAATCCTATACTTGAGTAAAAGTATAAATACTCTTGCTAAATATGAACTAAAAGTTGAGGTATTCAATTTAAACTGAGTCAAAGTACAAAAGTACCTGCTTTTAAAAATGCAATTGAGTCAAAGTATCAAAAGTATAAGTACTGTTTGTCAGGGGTTGCCGCATGACAAACTTTAAAATTTATAAACTTTCCTATTTATAAAAAAATGGCATTTATTATGAACAGGTTGCCCTTTCAGTAATAATTCAAGTTACTCAGATATATGTGTGTGTGTGTGTGTGTGTGTGTGTGTGTCAGTGGTGGATGAAGTATTCAGATCCTTCATTAAAAGTACTAATACCACTCTAAAAATACTATTTTACAAGTAAAATTCCTATTGGAGTGCAACCAATGATTATTTTCATTATAAATCAATCTGCTGATTATTTTCTCCATTAATTGATTTTTCAAAAAAAACCCAACAGTATAAAGCTCATAATTATTACAAATGAATAAAAGAAATTAAAAAGGAAAAGCAGCCAATCTTTCTCTTTATGAAACTGGACCCATGAAATGTTTTAAATGAAAAAACAGTTAATTTTCAGTTAATCTCAATCTAATAATCTTGTCATCTGTATTTGTTGAGTAGTTTCTAACAAAACTCATTTTATCAAGTCTTCATGTTTTATGTGTAAAAGTCTTAATTTGTGAGTTAACTAGTAACTAAAGCTGTCAGATACATTTAGAGAAGTAAGTACAATATCTCCCTCTGAGATGTAGTGGAGTAGAAACAGAAAGTAGCAAATACTCAAATAAAATACAAGTACCTCAAATCCTTACTTGAGTACAGCACTTGAGTAAATGTACTTAATTACTGTCCACCACAAACAGCAAGTTGTGGTTTTTACACTTCAGCTATTGTAGACCCTGAACAAAAGAAAGTGAACATGGCAATCAGTGAGCTTTAGAGGTGCTGGTGGGCTCTTCAGATTGTGTTATCTTTAGACAGAACCAGGCTAGCTGTTCCCCCTGTTTCCAGTCTTAATGCTAAGCTAAGCTAACCTGCTGTCGGCTGTAGCTTCATATTTACTGTACAGACATAAGAGTGGTATCAATCTTTTCATCTAACTCTCAGCAAGACGGTGAGTAACTTAATTTTAAGTATCAAAAAAAGAAAAATATCAAAAATCTATAAGGTTTTCAAAGTGGTCTAGCTTTAGTGTGTGTGTGTGTGTGTGTGATATGAGGCTGCTCTATTTTTAACCAGAGCGACAGCTGCCTCAGGCCTGAGATCAGCAGCACACTGAAAGGCCACAGAGCTTCAAGCTTTAAAAAACAAAACAACAACACTAATCAGATGTGAGAAAAGTCACAAGAATAGAAAATAGGTCTCCAGCTTTACATAAAACACCACATCTGTGTGTGTGTGTGTGTGTGTGTGTGTGTGTGTGTTTTCTTACCTCGGTCACAGTGTCAGTCTGAAGGAGGTCGCCTGAAGCTGACAGTGGCCGGACTGACACAGGCTCCTAAAGTTAGAGAGTCCTCACCGACCCCCCCCCCCCCCCCCCCCCCCCCCCTCCAGGCCTGCAGAGCCCCTGACACCGGACACCACAGCTACAGGTAACAGAGTACTTTTACTCAAGTAAAACTGCAGTTACACGCAGTTTGGTGCTTTTCCTTTCATCCTCACATCCTTAAGTTATTTTCTACTGCCCTTCCTTCATTCTATAATTAATTGAAATAGTTTATCTCGGTTTAAATCTTGTGTTTTGGGTTGTATTTATGTTTCTGTATTTTTTTTAGTGTAGCGCACTTTGTAACTGTTTTCAACAATGCTACATGAAGAAAGAGAGTATTTTGTCATTCCCCCACTTTCTTCTTCTCCCTAATATTTCTAGCCTATCCTCTTCTTTCTGTCCATCCTTACTTTAAAATAATATTTTTTCCTTTTGTCCTGGAGTATTAAAAAGGCATCTAAAAAATTCAAACAGTAAGTGGAGACACTGTCAGGGATCCAGATGAATTGAGACATGAAGGACACAGTTGGGCCTTAAAATGTCAGAAAATCATAAAAAATCTCTCATTAGACGCTGCAGGAGCACAAACTGATGTCTTTAAACGTCTTGTTTTGTCCAACTAACAGCCCAGAACCCAAATTACTGCTGCAGCAAGCAAACTAAGAAAACCACATTTGAAATTTATAAAAAAAAATTCTATCCTCTCTTTTCTTCCTCCTCTCTTTATTTTGGTCCTCTTTTATCTCTTTTGGTCTGTTTGAAGGATTGAAAATGAGGCAGAAAATTTGGTGTCCAGTGGAAGGAAATGACACATTTTATTTTGTTAAGTTTTCCTTTCATGAAATGTGTGGATGCATGCATGCATGTATAATGATGATGATGACGATGACTTCTCTTGTATTGCTTCTTAATAAATATCATAAAAAATTACAATTCAGTGATTTAATGAAGGGACACTTTGAGGTCAGGGTTTCATTTACTTGTAAAAATGCATGTTGTGATATACATTTTCAGGAGCTAAAGCTCTGTTGTGCTGTACAGAGATCTGACCCTTAAGTTTTCCACTTTGTCTTTACAAAGCTAATTTTCTCACAGGAACAACTTTGTCCTCAGAGCTTTGATGCTGCTTGTGGGTTTATCTAAAGTCGGCAATCAACTCGGCTATTTATAACCTCAGAATGCAGCTAGTCTAAGACACACACACACACATACACACACACACACACACACTGGAGGTCTCTTGGTGTATTGTTTATTTGTAATAAGACAAACCTCAGTGAGCTTTGATTGAAGAATTTGAGGTCATGAGATATAACTGCATTTCTTATTAATAACTTTCAGACATGACCATTTAAAGTCCAAGAAATTCCAATAATTTAATAATTCCGGCAGATAAGAAACAGCATTGTAACCTAATAAATCCCTAATAGAGTGTCAACTGTATTGCACTGTGACTTTCACTGCATGTTTTCCTTCTTTTCCAGCGGCTTTTGAGCATTTTCATTATTTGAGATATAATTTTACTTTGTTTTACTTCAACAGTGTAGCAGGAGATTTAAGGAGACACATTTTACCGTCTCATTTAATTATCTTTTACTTACTGAAAGTGCTTTTCTTTATTTTTATCTGTGCCCACATGTGAGTGAGCGTTCTCGTGAAAGAAATACTTAAAGAGGGGAAAAGAGAGGAGCATTAATAGACATTGTTTACTATACTAAAAAAGTGCTCTGAACAGACGACAAATCTTTAACAACAAAATTCTTCAATATCCAATGTGGATAAAAAAGAAAAAGTCACTTGACGCGTTGTTTTCGTTTTCCAAAAGATATCCTGTAATACAAATGTTCCCCCTTTTAAACAGCCAACATCAAAAGTGTTTCATATTTTTGATAGCCTATTCTCTATCGTAGTATGTAAGCATTCTCATCTCTGGTCATATTGTGCTTAATAATTCTCTGCCAAGCAGCAAATAAAGAATAAAATACTACATATTTGACATTTCGTTCTTTAAACCTGGGAAATCCTGATTTGGCAACAAAAAAGATAAATGATTGTTTAACTCAGTGGTCTGGTAGTCTTCCTCAATTCAACCAATGGAGACAGTTAGCCACAAGCTACTTGCAAAAATAATCAGTGGCCATTTTAGTAATGCTCAATGAGGTTTAACATCAATCATGTGATAATAATGGATGACATTCATATTGAACATATTTGCAAATGGCATCTTCTCTGCTAATGTTCAGTCGGTTCATTGGACATTTAGGTAACCAAATCCTGTATGTTAAGGTGAAAGAAAGATGGTTACTAAAACTGCCAATGCTCGTCTGCTAGCATGAGACAACAGACCTCACTGATGGCAGGAGACAGAACCAAAAAGTAGTGTGCATGTTAAAAATGATCAACACGTTTAAGCTGCCTTTTCACTTTTTATTGCATCAAATCCAAAGTGCTTTTGTCTGACAAAATGTTGAAATGAAACCTTGTTTAGTGGTTTTGTCACAATAAAAAATGAAATAAAATAATGTACCAACACTGAGCGGGTTTTTTTTTTTTATTACTTTCATGCTCTTATCAAATGACTCATCAGCCATTTGCCCCACATGAAAGCATTTCCAGGCGTGTAGGAGTGGCACATTGGCTGGTCAAGACATCTGCTGAGATTTCAACACGACGGAGTATGAATAGCAAACAAATACAGCTCTGTGAAACAAAAAAGGCACATACAGGCACAACAATAGATAACATCACAATGTGTAACAACAAGAAAAACACAGTGACGGCACTACGTAACTGAGGACTGAGTTCCCAGTGTCAGAAGTGAGGGGGGCTGTGCAGCTTACAATTACAGGTGCTTCATACCTAGAGGCCCACTTCTATCAAGTCCACAAACTTTTGATTGACCCCAAATTATCACCCTAATCCACATCTGAACAATCTGATGAACGCTACAGCTACACATCGTCAGACCACAACGAGGCTCAAATAATAACGACAAGGGAGTGAACGCACTGAAGGTCCATCAACACTGTGGTTACAGTATGCAGTCCAAAATCATTGTGATGCCCAACTGCTGGCAATAAAAAGTTCCCAACTGGTCAAATCGACCCATTGGTCAAGACTCGTTGGCGTAACATACTGGGAAGTCCCTTAGGGTTGTTGGGGCGTTGTTGGGAAGTTGTTGGGGTGGATGGGCGGGCTAGACACCGGACTTTATTAACCACTAGTTTTATTTTGAAAGTCTAACTGGTTGTTGTATATTTATAGTTGCTAACTTGACCTCGGAGCCCTACACATCCAAAAACAACAGTAGAGGGGTACCCAGGGTGTTAAAAAGCGATGCCAAGGGGTCCTGATCAAGTGTCCATATGTGCCAAGCTGTGAGCTGTGGTTTGTGCTGCTGGTATTTTAACCAACCACAAGATACACTAAAACTGCCCCCCAGCAAACAGAAGATATCCATGAGACTGGGGTTTCCAGTACAAGTTTAGACACGAGGGACATCAAGCAAACAATGTACCATGTTAAAGGACTTCATTGGGCCAGTCCAATGAGAGTAGGGTTGGGATGAAAGGCTGAGGATCTCCAAGTCTGAGACCAAAAATGGTGGATTTCCCAGTTTGGTAACATGTGGGGCATCACATTAATTTTGGTTTTAAAAATCATTCTTACTTCTTTTTTGGCTGAATGGTGAATTTTAAATGCTGATTCTCGTTGCTCTGCTTGTAATCCAAAATACTTCCATTTTAGAAAAAAAGAAAACCCTACGTGAGGTCTATCAGAATCTCTAATGTACGATTTTTATTATTATTATTTTTTAATAGTGTTAAATTTGCTAGACAGGATTAAAAAAAATATATTAAAAATATTAGGTCAGAGAGGGTTCTGCTTCTTCCCGTACCTTGTTTTGAAGAAAACTCTGTTTGTTCTCTGGAAAATGCAGACTTCCAGTTTGGAGAGATCAGGAAACAACACAGTGTCTGACATATGCAATATATTACAACAGTGGTAGAGAAGTCTGTCAAACCTCCTGAGTATGATGAACAGAAATCCAGAGAAAAGGGAGCTTAAATTCACAGTTTACGTCTTCCTGAGGCTGTGAAAGTTACCGTTTGTTTACTCCTGAACTCTGTGAACAAGTTTTTTTGGAGTAAATCTGTTGAAGGTCACGATATTGAGAGATACATATGAGACAGAAAAGTGAGAGACTGGAGGAAGATAATGAGACAGATTCAGAGCGAGGCACAGTGTCGTCACTTGCGGATTAATATTCCACTCATTTTGAGGATACTGCAAATATTCCCTCAATGAGCCGGATCATGTAAAGACCATTGCATGTATATTAATGGAAAAATCCCATATGCTGAATATAAAAAGCATGTGAAAACTGGGGTATGGTGATATTAACTGGAATTTTCTAGCATATAAAAAGAACATGTGGTTTATATTTGAGTTTGTTGAAAAGCACAAGCACTGTTTCATTAGTTCACAGCAGGAAACATAAAGAATGTGCAAAGAAGCTTATGGTCACGTGTAAAATGCTATAAACACAGCTAGGACTAGGTAAGGCTAATATTTATATTATTAATGCATGTAAACACACTAACAGAGAAAAAAGAAAGAGGGCCTGAATGCTAAATAAAACCAGTAGTTCATTCTCTCTCTCTCTTCCAAACCTGAAACAACCCACTTTTATCCTCCTTTTTCCTGAGAAAGAAATCCTGAAAGTGAAGCTTTGCAGAGACGACCAACGGTCGGGGAGAAGCAGCATGTGGTATTTATGTTATTGTTATGTTTACTTTATTTTAAGATGCGCCTGCAGCTGTACTCTCTTTAAAGTTGACGGACTTCATTACCCATAAATCAATCAAATCAAGCCTTCTGGATGGAGCGCTTGTTTGTATGTTTTACATTTTGCTCTTAAGATACTTGAAATTAGCATATATGGATTACTACATAAATTCTTGCCAACTGCAGCTTTAACACCACCTGGTTTGGTCCATTTAAGTGTAACTGTTTCTGGGCAGGTGACCAGAAACAGGAAGAAGTTGAGGTCCAGACGAACTTTTGCAAAGAAAAACGTGTCCGTCACCAACACAACGTTGTTCACCACACCAGAAACAGTGCTTCATAGAGTCTGCATTGTTTTATTTTGTCAACAAAACATCTGTTTGTTGACGTGTTCTGGCCTCTTGCGAGGTAAAATAAAAGGCTCTTTCGAGGCTCATGTCCTGAAGTTTCACTTCCTGTTTTGAAATCACCCGGGCGCTCTTCTTATCTGAACAGAACAGGAGCAGAGTCGTGTGTGAAACCAGCCGGTAACAGGAGATTCTCTCTGCGAAGATGGCAACAGTCTCCATGTTTCAACACACTCACCAGCTCTCACAGTATGTGTTTTTTCAGATCTGTTCAGCCCTTGTTATCAGCAGCAACAGGCAGCAGAGGGTCCGCCGCCTCGCTCCTCTCAGCCTCGCCTCCATCTTTTGGACGGTTTATCATATTGGTCCTAGCCTGGTGGTCGGCTAGCTTCTTCTTCATCCCCTCCTTCTCCCCTGCATCTAAATCAACCCTCTGGAGAGACGAGAATTCGCGGCAGTATGCCTTAGGCAGGCAGGGCACCAGATGCACCTCGCCGCTTTCATTCATGAGCTGGACGCAGGTGTAGAAATCCTGTGGTGAGCGGTTGGTGGTGTCAGGAGCAGGGACAGCGTTAAGGCCGGAATGGCCCATCATGCTGTACTCTGTTCCCGGCAGCGACACGATGTCCGGCCTCGGCCACGGGGAAGACATGTCCAGCGACGGGGCGAAGGCTACAGGAGGCGAGGAGCAGTAGGGCGACACGCTCTGCATGTACAACGAAGGGTTTTGGGTGAACTGATGAGAAGCGGCCACAGGTGTCAGGTCACAAGGGACCATTAAGGCGTCGTTCTCCCTGTCTGTCGGGTCGGCCGGGACTCTGCAGCCCTTCGGCATGGTGAGATAGACGTCTTCAGCGTTGACTGGGTCCCAAACCTCCTCAGTGTAGCTCGGAGGTCTGTAGCTGTGGAAGTTACTGAAGTGATGGTTGATTTCGTCCAAGTTCCTCTTCTGAGGGTGGAAGGAAGGAAGAAAAGGTAGAAATGACAAGAAGGAGGGCAGAATGAAGGAAGGGAAAAGGAACAGGCAGGCAGACACAGAGAGAGCATAAATGAAAAGACAAAGTAAAAGAAGGCAAGAAAGAAAGAAAGATATGAAAAAAATAAGGAGAGAAAGAGGGAGGAGCAAAGATGATAGGAAGGAGGAAAGACAAAAACAAAAAGGTATGATGTGAAAAAAGGAGGTACAGGAGTAAAAGAAGCAAGAGAGCAGGCAAAATGTTGGAGGAAGGAGAGACAAAAAGAGCGTGATAAAGAAGAAAAGGTGGAGGCAGGAACCGAGAGAGTATGTAAAAGAGTAAGAAATAGAAAGGAAATGTGAAAAGGAATAAATCAAAAGTGGGCAGACAATGACAGATGGGAGAACAAAGGAGGGAAGGAAAAATACAGAAATACAAGGTCAGAAGAAATAGTTACCACGTGACCCTGAAAACACTGTATTTGTGTGTGTGTTACCTTCAAGAGCAGTGGATCGATGCCGATGATCCGTGGCTTTGGAATGGGCGGGAGGAAGTAGTCTTTTATTCTGAAGGGGAAAACATAAAGAGAGGAAGTTGTTTTAGTAGCGGTGTCATGTCAACCCTCACGTGTTCATGATGAAACACGAGCATGCATCCAAAGAGTGTTGGAGACACTGACTGAATAAACGTCGACATGCAAACAGGGAAACAGGCTGCAGTAAGAAGTAAAGGTAAGACAGATATATATATATCAATCATTAGATTATTATTACTCATGCATAAATGTAAAAGCTGGTTCCCATTTCAGTCACATGCTTCAACTTGTCCACCTCAGCCAACTATAAAAAACATTTTTTTAAATCAGGCTTCGTTTCATTTAAATTGCACATAAATTGCACTTATTAAAGCTTATTTTGACTTGCCATGGCAGGAAAAGCACAGGTGAAAGTCATTTCTGCAGTGCAACACAGCAATAATGAAAGCTTTCAATAACATCTGTTTCTTTTATTATGGTAATGTGCAAACCATTTGTTGTCTTCCCCTCCCATACAGCATTTTAGACTGATTTAATTAACACACTGTCATGATGTATTAGCTGCTTTGGCAATGCTGTACTTAATCATGTTTATGCCAGCAGCACACATCTGAATTTGATTATTATTGTTGTTTTACTTACGCCTTCAAAATTCTTTTTTGTCTTTGACAGAAGATTTCATACATTTCCTTTCATGAAATCATAGTCATCCATCACACGTTACTGCATCTGTCATTGAATGGTGGCCAGATTGGTGCATATGAAAGAAAATTAAATATATTTGGTTGTAGGCAATAACAAACTGTACATTACTCAGCAGAGAAACAGTTAAGTTTCTCACTCAAGATTTTTTTAATTTATGGTGATGTGTAGGATAACGACAATGATCTTTACTGAAATATATGTGGGCAGAAGTACTTCCTGCGGCAGCTCAGGAAGTTCAACCTGCCAAAGAATATGATAGTGCACTTCTTCACCACCATAACTGAGTCCATCCTCACCAGTTGAGGTGTTTGTGTGTGTGTGTGTGTTTTCTCACCTCCTGCTCTGTGGAATAACACTGAAGGCGATAACCAGCAGAGCCACGACACTGACTCCTGACACCAGAATCCACACCAGGAGTTTACCTGCACAGGTGCAACCAAAGATAATTAATTACTGTCTCCTCCCCTCCCCCTCTGTTCCTCTCCTCCTCCCCTACAGCACCAGGGCTACAAACATAATTGGAAAATTTAATTATTAACAGCCTGCCTGTTAATCAGATATTTAAATGTTCCTGTTGCGGTGTTATCTAGTTTTCTCCTGCTGAATGCAGAAAAATCCCCGACTCCAAATCAGCGTACATGCGAGAGAATCTGCTTAATACATTAAAAAGGGTCTACCCAGAGTCCCCTCCTAGTTGGGCGTGCCTGGAAAACCTCCAAAGGAAGGCGCCCAGGAGGCATCCTACATTGTTAAATGTAGCATTTAAAAACTTTCCTAAAGAGATATTCTTTTTTCCAGTTGTTTTATTGTAATTGTCTGTGAATAAGTAGATTTTAAGAATATAGTCAGAATATTTGGAATACCTGTACGTGACATTTGCAGAATCAAGGAATCTAAAAAAAATAATAATTAAAAAGTGTTTCTTTTCATTACTTATAAACACATGAGAGCAGCCCGTCAACCTACATGTTAAATGATGGAAATAGATGAGCTGAAGTTATACTAGTAATACTTCATCTTACTGAAGACATTTTAAAATAAGAAAACAGACCTGCAGCTGCAAAATCACTGTGAAACATGTGTCAGCTACTTACAATATTTATTGCGGATTGAAGTAGCTAAACATGTTTGCTGTTTGGTTGAACATGCACTTTGTTGTGTTCAGTAAACTTTCAGATGAATTTCATTACAAAACTGACTACTGCCGTCACTACAATAAAAACTACAACCTGAAACCGAGGTATTATCAGTGTTGTCATGGAAACCCCTCCCAGTCGGCGTACCTGCGGGCGGCCTGGCGGGGATGCTCATCAGCATGGTGGAGCTCCATTTGCTCCACAGGCCGTAGTTGTGCGACCGGCAGCGAACTCGGACCACGTAGTCGTCGACGGGGAGACAGAGCAGCACCACTTGAGGCTCCCGCAGAGGGTACTTCACCTGCAGACAACATATATAGATTTAGATTGTTTAGTTTATTTTTTGTTTTTTAACATCTGACCAGTAGTGGAATCAATTAAACATAATGAAAGCATAACCAAAGTGTCTTAATCTTCAAACAAACGTAGGAAGGGGTTTAATGCAGTGTCATCTATTTGTAGCTTTTTAAACCTTTAAAAACACAAATACCCTTTAATAGATTACAATCCATTAAAGCCAGCCCAAATCGAAACAGATTTATTAAATATGTCAAAGAAGGGTATTCCAGACATCCCTCTCCTCACCAACACTTTCTAGCTGCTCCTGGGGGATCCCACAGCGTTTCCAGGCCAGATGGGATACGTAATCCCTCCAGCGAGTTCTGGGTCTACCCCGTGGCCAAAGAAAGGCGCCCAGGAGGCATCCTTGTCTATTGCAATTTATTTTTGATTCTATTAAATAGGGCTGCTATTAGGTAAAATACTAATTTAATGTAAGACTATATCTTTTACTGGATCTACACATTTTAATAATGTTTTTCAAAACACACAGTAGTTTTGGCAGCGTAAACTTTGAATTATAGAACAGTCGCAAACGTATCAGCTGACTGTAGTGCGATCAGTGCAGGTTAATTTCCTCAGTCACATGACCTGCTCCACTCCCAGGTTCCACCAAACATCTTTAGTAAAAACTACATCTGTAATCACGTCTCCCCTAAGATATGGCACGGCTGTATTTTCAGCAGCACAGACTCTACTGAATGATCAAAGAAACATCATATGCACATGGTAGGAATGTGTCTCTATGATGCTCTTGATCTTCTGCACGTTGCCACCTCTTCATTTTGATCATGAAGGCAACACAGAGCATACAGTAGGCCACGATATATGGTTTAGAGATTATAGATCCAAGATAACAGAAGGACTGAGAGAAAAAGGAATTAAAAATCCGTCCGCTGCTTCAGCACCACGGTCAGCGCCATGGATTTATCAACGCGCGGCACAGTTAAGCTTCTGTTGTTTCAGAGCCGTGGTCAGGGGCCAAACCTCTGTCACAATAAAGTATCAATGAATCAGACTAGACTAACATGTTCAACTAAACAAACCCTGCAGCAGTGAGCAGATTTCCACATGATTATTTGAGTCTTTACCTTCCAGTTGTCGGGCTCGGTGACACGTCTGTACTGCAGCTCGTGCACCAGCGTGATCCACCCATACTGCAGGTCGGAGGGCACCGGGTACGCCCAGGACAGCAGCACGTTGTGGCCATTCTCTTCCCCGCCGGCGTCCTTCAGCGTGTACGTCAGGTTAACCGGAGCTTCGGTCTGAACTGTGGTCGACAAACACACAGAAACGTGTTGTGAAATGTTAACAGGATGTCAGAAGACTTTAAAAAAAAAAATGACAAAGAAAAAAAAGGCTTTTATTTCATAAAAGACTATTTTTAATGTTTCCGCATAGTTAGAAATTTCTCCAGCCCACAATGCACTGGAACTCCTCTATGGAGGAAGCATGAAGATGATTTGTGCATGTTTTACAATTATCATTAATTCATGCATGTTGTCTTTAAAATAAAGCAGCTATCATGTCATGTTATCATGAGATAATATCTTCTATTATTCACGCAGCTATTCATGCAAACTGCATTTATTATACTTTTATAACATTGTGTGGTTCATTTATTATTCATTATAGGCATGTTTTTATACATATATCCATTATTTAAATGTTGAACTGTTTATGAGACCAGGATTGATGCACACGCATGGTATCATTGTAAACTGATACTGAAGGTTTCACATTTACACCTTGTTTTGTCTTCTTCATTTTATCTTTCAAACACAGTAAGTCTGTTTCAACACGGGCTGAAATTCACATCATCGCTCTCTTAACATGTCTTTAGTGTCTGTTCCAAATTTCAGAGAGTCAGAGTTCAGTCCCAAGCGTCTCCAGCAGCGTTTACAAAACCTACAACACATACCCAAAAGCTTTCCTGTCATCATAATCATTGTGGAATTATCTTCCAAACGCACATAAAAAGTCAGTCAAGTAGTCCATTTTCAGAAAATGAATCATGGTATATGCTGCTTTCCTCCGTTTTACATGAATATGCTTTAAATAACTTCAGGTTTTTGACTGTTAGTCGTACAAACAAGACATTTTTCGCTACTTTACAACATTTTATAGACTTAAGAATTGATCATGCAGCTCTCATCTCAGTTAATTTATATTTGCACGTGAGAAAAATGTCATGCAGACCGCCGTCAAAGTGCAAAAGGTCTCAGACGCTGAACTTGTGACCTTTGAGTTACACAGCAGCCTGTATGACCGCCCTGCACTGTACTGTACCTGCGAGCCGGGTTGAATTCCCTGCAGGGCCGTGACCTCCACTGACACCGGAGATGAACAAAAGATCACTAAAGCGCACACATGTGAGTCTGTTTTAAGTTCTGATAAATCACACACACATGAGTCTGGTGCTTTTTCACATGACAGACACACAGCCGACCCCAACTCTGCTGCATCTTAAACCAGCTCAGGAGGTAGACTGATGAAGGTCTGGATAATAACAGACACTCAGTCCCCAATAAAGTAGATTAAATGCCGTGCCGAGGCTACAAGCTGCCTTCATAGGGAGTCTCCTCGGAAAAGAGTTTTAGTGCTTTTCAATCTATGCATTCATCTTAAATCGGTTTTAAATAGAACGCCTCCACCCGTCCTTACCTATGTCTGCCACGTCCAGGCAGTGCTCCTGGGAAGTGTAGTTCCTGTGGGCGGTGACGGCGGTCACGTTCATACAGTAGATCTTCCATATGGACGTGTGGCTGCTGTCGAAATGGCAGCTGTTGGGGCCGGCAGTCACGTAGTCTGGACATTCATGTTTGGGCCCCTTACTGTGAACATGAGGGAAAAGGTTTTAGTTTCAAAGTTAATCCATGCTTTAGGTCATGAAGATGTTTCCTGTTTGGAGATCTGCCTCACCCTATCTTCTTTCACTTCGTTTGCATGGTTCACTGAATCTTTTAAAACTGTTTTTCTTTTAATATTTTTCTACAAATGTGACATATTTGTCTCATTTCACCGATGTTCATGTCCGTTATTGGTGGTGCAGGTTTTTTTGGTGCTGATATAAAGATGTTGTTTCAGTTAAACCTTAAACTGAACCTTACGTCGACAGCGTGCAGGAGTTTCATTTTCCTCTGGACCCGACTTCCAGTTTGTAAATTATTTTTCGAAGGAGTTTATCCTTAATCCGAGTAAAGGGTGTCGTATGCTGTACAGATTGTGGAGCCCCTGAGGCAAGAGGTGGGCTTTCCTTTGTCATGTAATTGATTTCTGCAGTATGTTTCTATTATTTAGTACTTCCTGGTGAGTAGCTGCCATGGATGTGTTGTAAGAACTGGATACCAGATTTAAAGATAGCGCCCAGTCACCTCCGAGCACATAAGGCACAACAGTTTAACAACCTCCAGGTTTACTTCCACGTCGTGCTGCCTACTGCCCGTTAGTGTTTCTCCCACAATGCTCATTAGAGCCCACAGATTTTATTGACTTGAACTTACTCCACAACAGGTGAATGGGGTTGAAACCTAGCATGAAAACAACTTTTCTTCTTTTTTTTTTTCTTCTATAATTTAAAGAACTGCATTTTGTGCTGTAAAAATACTTTTTACTGGCTTGAATTTGTTGTAACAGCATTTAACTTTTTTGAACAAATGTTGGTTTTAAGCTCCAGTTGTGCTTTCTGTTTTAATTTGGTAAAATAAAATTAAAATTCAAGCTCATAATGGGAAACTGCCAAAGGGAGTAATATGTATACTGGCAGGTCCAGCTGTGGGACAGGGCCTGTCTTTTCTTATTTTGTTATTCTGTTATCAAAATATAGTTTTCAAACTATAGTCAAGTGTTCAATATGATTTAATCAAGTTACGTAAAAGCAAATTTGGGACTACGTAAAGGTATTTAATTGAAAAGCTGTGCACATTTAACAGAGAGCCAGATGAATGTGGGCTAATTGAAAGCCTACAGCTTTTGCCCCGGGGCCCCACAGCAGCTTCTGATATTTAAATGCTCATTTCATTTATTCATTTAACTGTATAAGCATGTAGTTTTAATTTCCATAAATTATATCTCAACACTCTAAATAATGAAGCAAATACCACATCATGTTATTCATTTTTAAAACTGTTTTTTAAAAACACTATTTGTGGTTGCAAACAAACTCCTGCAGGAGAATTAGACAACAGTCGATGGAGCTGTGAGCGATGCCGTGCCAGATCAAAGGCACAATCCAATTTGTCCTGATTACTGACAGCAGTGTCTTTGCTGACGGTGCCATGTGTGCAGACTGCCATCGGTCTGAGGCCATGTGAGGCTGCGTTCAGGACTTCAGAGCTGCACCGAAATGTTGACCTGTTAGAAAGTGGAGCACGATAAATCAAACTGCATGTATAGAATTCACACGACCTTGAAAGTTGAGTTGACTTTTGATCTGAGGCTTTTTTTCCTGTTTTGGGCCAAGGAAACTGTAAAAGAGGGAAGTGTCATGGTGGAGCTTGTGAAAACTGGAGCTTTTCCCCCACGGAAGTCAGGAGAATATAATAACACTGAGGAGGTTTAATGTTAGCCAGCTCTCTCAGAAACGTTTACTTCGTCAAGTTAGCGTTGGCACTTTCTTAAGCTAACATTAGCCAGCAATATCTCTGCTGAGATGTCCTACAGTAATTTGGAGATAAAAACGTTAAGAAATAATTTATAGTATAGTTTTAGGTATTTAATGCATGTTTATCATATTATCATTTAGCATGCGGTGAAGTAACTGCAGTACTGTAAAATGTAAAGTGGTAAATACTCCAGTGAAGTACAAGTACCTCAAAACTAAGACAATAAGGTTCTGTTTATAGAACAACAATCTCCTAAAACCGGGATTTACTATACTTGTGGGGACAGACCAGCTTTGTGGAGACCAAACCGTTGGACCCCACAACTTTAAAGGGATGTTTAAGGCTTCAGAATTAGGGAAGAGTTAAGGTTAGACATGTTTCTTGGTGTGGGCTACAGAATGCTTTATGTCAATGGGATGTCACCACAAAGATAGTAAAACAAACGTGCGTGTGTGTGTGCGTGTTATGTACACACTCTTTGGAGTAGCTGAGGACGTAGGTGACCTGCTCTCCATCTGTCAGGTTTTCGAGCGGATGCCACCAGCAGGTGAAGTCCTCCATGTTGGGCGAGCGGCAGTAATAGATGTGAGGCCTTGTCGTCACGGCAACCTCTTCTGTGAAAAAAAAAAAAAACTTTAAATCACAAAGTCGAGTTAGTGCAAGCTCGTTGCCACGGACGCGGTGCCACGGTGTTGTGGTGACATCGCTGAATGGTTGCAGGTGTTGCCATGCAGGTGCGCGGTGTCATGCACTGCAAAACAGAAACCCTGCGATCTGCTCATTAGACGGCTGCTCCTGACACAGGATGTGATGTTATAATCCCGATGAGAGACGGCAGGCAGCTGACTGGATCAGGAGACAAAGGAGACTTTATCACCCGAGTATCACCACTAACTGATCAGTCATCACAACCAAATCATGGCTGAAATCACTACTACCACTACGTTACCTGACAAAGTATAATTTCACATATAGAATGATTTAGAGCTTCAGCAGTCTCTCAACACATGTTCCAAAATGCACCTTAATGTGGTGCAATGTTCATCTATGTAAGGAGGAAATGCTTCAGCTTACAGACTGAGATTGATTTGGTGGAGAACTACAAATATCTTTACTTCTTACTAGAAAATCAACCCTTTTCATATGTGCACTAAAAAGATGACTTTGTTCTACAGACATTTTAGAGTTGTGCTGTCTGTTGTATTGCGGCGTGGCTTGGTTTTTCTACGATGTAAGGTGTGTTTGATTTCACAGCGCAGACTTAACATGATGCATGCTGGACATAACATAAGGCATGCTGGTGAGACATTTTGTCCGACTTTGTCTGGTGCTGCAAAATGTCACCATGTCACATGACATTAAAACCTCATGGGAGCAAGGCGGCTGCAGTTTTGTGAGTCCAGCGACCGCAGTCGCTTTTGCTCTGGGTGCAACAAGTGGGAACCACCTTTTGCCTGATTTTGTGGTATTTGTAAAGGCAAATGCCGCAGGAGCAGTTGTTTTAAGCTCACCCACTCTACGAGAAGTAGACTGTGTCCTACTTGACAGCAATGATTTCATACCCAACCCCGCAAGTCAGCAAAAGTCAGTCAGTCATCTCAAACACACCGATAGAGTTTTGTTATTATTGCATTGCCTTCACATGAAGGGATCTTATCTCTGATCCTGTCTGGTATGTTGTCTTCATGTTGTATTTATTAGGGATTGAATGTGTTTCAATGTGTATCCAAATGAGTGTAACCAAATTTCCCCTAGTGGGATAATAAAATTTGACTTTCGACAACAACTGCAGTCGTAAATGATTACTGCTATCATTCTACAGTTAAACTAGAAGGTAGTTGTGAAAGTGTGCACAGATCATCCAGAACCTTTTTCAAGCAGTGCTTTTGCTCACATTTTGGTCACACAACATCCATTTCCTAATTTCATCTGTTTCTGCCTCAAACACACACACACACACACACACACACACACACACTCTCAGTTATCTAATCCATAGACTGTTGGTCCCACGACAAGAGATTTAGACCAGCAGTGGAAAACCGATCGGCGTCTCAACAGCAGGAATTCCTGCCCAGGCAGACTAAGACTCAAAAAACATCAATGCAAGCAAAGATTAAAGTAATTTAATATTTTGTTGTTGCAATATTAGCAATTTATATAATAAAAGATCGATTCTTGACGTCTGCTGTATTGATCCCCTGCCCCCGCTCCAAGCCAACCATGTTTCTCAGGTACAAAACTACTCCTCTTCTCTATGATGTGCATGTATCAGCTGTCTGCTGTATTTTTCCCCCCTCAATTCACACAAATGCCAGTACCAAACACTTCAATTCGTGGCTCATGGTCATGTTAAAAGAAAAAACCTTGAGATTACATTAAAGCAGCGAACATCATGTGCGCGTCACAGATCGAAGCAGTGGGAGGCGAGCAGTAATCCATCAGAGAATGCATGGAGCTGCAGTATGAGGGCAGCAGAGAAACAAAGGCCTGTTGTGTTGTTGCTTTAAGAGGCTCAATGAGCCACACCACAGGAACTTTCTGATTAACAACCTCCACTTTTCAGAAAAGAAAGGAGGAAGCATGGCGGGCACGAATAAATCTGGACAAAAGCATACTTGCAGCAAATCAGATTGGCTGTGTGATGGATTTAATGCAGGTGCTGTACAATGTCTGAAACATTAAGTTTATTTTTAACAGGGAATTAAGTCTGGGTTTAGTTGTGTCTAGAGGACATAATGTCACAGGAGGAAGAATAATTCTTATATAAATCTTAATCATTTAAGATTATTAAAACGCTAATCCACGGTTTTTGCATTTTTTAGCCGTTCAGTGTGTGTCATTTCGTGACTACCAAACCAAACGGTTTTCTAAAGTAAACCAACGGTTTAAGATTAATTTTCATAATTCCAAGCATAACTCTGTTTTGTTACATTTCATGAAATTTACTGTATTAAAAAGAGATGCAGAACGACCAAAAAAAAGAGATGCAAGACTACAAAGAGACACAAAACAACTACAAAGAGATGCAGAACGACCACAAAAGTGGTGCAAGACTACAAAGAGACACAAAACTACAAAGAGATGCAGAACAACCAAAGAACTACAAAGAAAGGGAAAAAACTAGAAGGACACAAAACAACTACACAGAGGTGCAAAACTACTACAAAGAGACACAAAATGACTACAAAGAAATGCAAAACGACCAAAAAAAGAGAAAGGGAAAAGACTACAAGGAGATGCAAAACAAGTACAAAGAGACAGAAAAAGCCCAAAGAAAATATGCAGGACTACAAAGAGAGAGAAAAGACTGCAAGGAGTACAAACAAATACAGAATGGCCACAATAAGAGATGCAAGACTACTAAGAGACACATAAAAACTACATAGAGAGGGAAAAGTATATAAAGAGACACAAAATTTGTACAAAGACATGCAAAACGACTAAAGAAGAAAGCAAAACAACTACAAGTAGAGGAAAAAGAGATATAGAATGGCCACAATAAGAGATGCAAGACTACAAAGAGACACAAAACTGCTACAAAGAGATGTAAATAGATTACAAAGAGACACTAAACAACTACAAAGTAAAGTAAAACAACTATAAAGAGAGGGAAAAGATTACAAAGACACTCAAAATTAGTACAAAGACATGCAAAACAACTAAAAAGGAAAGCAAAACAACTACAAAGAAATGTAGAACACCCAAAAAAAGGAAGCAAGAGAATACAAAGAGATGCGGAATACCCAAAACAGACACAAAAGGCTATAAAGACGCGCAAAACAACCATTTCCTTTTTATTTAATCTGGTTCTCAGAAAGGAAAAGTACGGGCTGACATTTTCTCAAAAGCTTTTGCAAATGGAAATTGTGAATAAAATCAGTACTGCAGATTTTATTTCCTGTGTGGTTTAAAATGAATCTGTCTATTCATATAGTCAGAATCCAGATTTGTCTTTAACAGTCCTGGGATGAAACCTCTTTGTTTTCTCCATTTTTCACAAATAAGATGGAAATCACTGAGAAAACAGACCAAAATAAATATAAAGTCATGCGATGTCATGCTGTTTATCAGCAAACTGTTTTCTTTCCCTGAGGCTCCCTTTCGTTGACATCGGGTTACGTTTGTGCTTTAGTGGATCAGACAGTTGCAGCTTTGTAGTGTGTGGAGTTGGGAGGACAAGCTAATGGCAAATACAGACAGATGGACAGAAAGACATCTGGACATTGTGCAGTCACAAACACACACACACAGGCAGGCGGTATCAAACTAATGAGCTCATTCGTTGTGACATTTGTCAAAATGGTCTCCATTGTCAAAACAAAGCATTAATAACCTTTTATGTGTAACAAAACCAGACACATCTCAGTATGATCCAGATTTAACATCCCAAGTGGGACTGCGAAATGTGGCTACAGGGAAGAAATCTCTATGCTCAGCTGATGGTTTTTTAACATTTACAGCAGCAACATGTAATGTTGGGTTCATCACAGTGCCTTAACACCCTGCTGTGGCTCAGCAGAGAGACGTGCCAAGTCAAACTACACGCTTAATCTGAACCAATCACACATGATCGACGAGCAGGGAGAGTTCAATATTAAATTTATAAATATGACATCATGAAATAAATAAATCACATGAATAAAATATAATCCAAGACACTGTGATTGGCTGTTGCTTCGGTCTGAATGGGCAAAACTTATTCCTATGATGAGTTATCTAACACTGTCTTATTCATTTAATATGTATAGTTTAGGTTTCCACACTTTTCTCTCTCTCTCTCTTCAACATATTTACATTTTTAAACCATTAACATTAAATTCTGACATGCTTGTATGCCAGTACAATAAAAGGACCGGTTTTCATGATGGGGTTCGGTGGTTTGGTGTCGCTCTTCCTGGCTCTGCGTCAAATCCATAAGACATAATTTTCAGTAAAATCTTATCAGCTTATTAAAAATACACACATGAAGTACAATTTACTCTGCTGTATAATTAATCAGGGTTGCCGTTGCTACAGAAACAGCACATTCAGGGCAGCTTCTCATGTAGGAACGATGCCCCCCGTAACACATTGTATGCTTTCTACTGTCATTCACAATGTGGATTCTGCAAATTATCACTCCAGTGTTCTCGCTAGTAATCAAGGGGGTAGTGAAGGTGCCGTAATTAAGACATATTTTAAGACACTTTGATGTGGTGTCCCTGAGCAAGACATTTAACCCCTAGTTGCTCCCGAGGCATGCAACCTCTGACATATAAAGCAATAAGTTGCTTTGGATAAATGAGTAAATGTGACGAAGACAAAGCTACTGTTTCGACTCAGATGAAGAAGAACAGCCTGCTCGGTGTTGAGGACAGAGACAAGTCAATTTAGGCCTCACAAAAACAGGTAAATTAATATTTAATATTGATTTTATCAACACACGTGTCCAAACTTCCATTAAAAAAAGAGGTTAAAAGCCCAAAACACAGACACAAAGCATGTTTAAACAGGTCGTAGAAAGAGAGCATAAGGTAATAAAAGCAGTTCTGTCTGAGCTCATCGATGTCCCCCCTGCTGAGCTATCGATGAGCTGCCGACACACGTCCAGCTGAGCGGAAATAAAAATGGGCAACATAGCAGGCGGCCGTCTGAGCCCGGCTGTCAGACAGCACTCCGGCTCACAGCTGCAACGCTCTGAATTTATTTTTAAATGGTCACAAAAGATTTTGTACTGACCCAACATGAATGGACCTGCACCAAATATGTCAACCAACTGTATCTTGGTGATTAGATTTTAAGTGGAGATTAAATCTGAGCATTGTTCTCCACACAGCACATGAAACCACCAGCAACTCGCCTCATTCAGTCTCGTCAAAAGGAATTGATTACTGAGAAATTAAAGCGTTCTTTCAGAAGTTAAACGACTTGTCTTGGATACACTTACAACTACAAAAATGCAGGAATTTAGTCCACTTATTCTTGTGCATACTGCGGCCGCTTTCACAGCTGCCTGCCTTCCCTCCTTTAAATCCATAAAACATGCCGCCTGCCTTGCAAATGTCTTTGTCATCTAAAACGATTGAGAGACAATCTGGTGAGATTAAATACAACATAATCTATTTGGACGAGGATGGTGAAAGTCAAAAAAGATGCATCTGAGAACCTCATCTAGGTTCAGCCAAGCATGGTGGAGGGTCAGTGTCAGTTCAGTAGCAACAACTGGAGTTCGTGATTTGGGTTTTGATTTAAGGGATCATGAGAACTTATTTAACACTTGCAATGACGTCTTGATTAGGAGCTAAATTCAGCTCAGCACCAAGATAAAGACAAGTCACATGCAAGCAACTAAGAAGTTAATTGAATGCTAATTAACTTTTTAGTTCAAGAGAAGCAGAAGATGAATGAACTGTGAAGGAAATGATTTCTTCATTCATTACATTTTGTACCCTTCTATGGTGGATTATGTCTATTTTTCTATTTCCTGGCATTGAAATATAAAGACCTATTCTGCTTTCACTAGAATACAAATTACTGAAATTACCAATCATGTCCTCTGACTCACCGTGGATGTGTCTTTCTTTAGAAGCGATGCCGTGGGTGGCGATTTTGCTCATGCCCATCGGAGTAAGCAGACACAGCAGCAGCCACAGCATCCTGACGCCTTCTGTCAACCTGTCAACACAAAACAAACAACTTAAAATCAAAAGCTCAGGACCGAGAAAGCCTTCCACAGCAGTGCTTTCCTCACTGTGGGAAAGTCTAGTTTCCATGTGAAAATGTCCAGCAGCAATAACATGTGACCCGAACACAAGTGGACATTTATGTATTTTTTTTAAAAAGGGCAGCAGGATGATTGCCCTGCGGCTCTTTGAGTCCAAACACTGAGCAGCAGCAACAAAGCATCGCTTCCTCCGGTCATAAGACAACTTCAGGAAAATCAATCCTCTGATGGGGCACCGACGACGTCACTGCCTCAACAAATTGCCCCTAAAGAGAGCATGCATTCCTAAAATTTATACCATTCATTTTCTTCCAAGTACAGTAGATAGCAGAAAGACAAATATAACTTCACTGGTGGGACTTTCTCCCACGCGATTCTCAGGGTTGTAACACGACAGACAGACAGATAGATAACTTTATTGTCTATCTCTATGTATGTGAAAAAGTAGTAATATCCCAATGTACAAGCGGTCCATAAGTACAGAAGTCTATGGCTGCCACTATTAAAATGAAATCATTAAATCAGATTGAAATGTAATTTTCAATTTGTCTCCACATGATTTAATTTTTGTTTTTTGTTTATTTTATGTTTATTAGATTATCCACTTTCAGATAAAAACAGGAAAACACACTGCGGGTTTTCATTTTCATGAAAAAAAAAAAAAACCCTGCACAAAATGCATTGATTTTTTTGTTTTAAGATTTTCCCGATTGAGTCAGTCAGATGAAATACAGACCAGGCTTTGCTGATGAATACGTTTCAGTGTAAGCACAAGGGCGTAGAATTTAGTAGAGACAGCAGGGACATGCCTCTACCAATATCCAGCTACTTCTGAATTGTGAAAACAATCAAATTTAACCACTACTGTCGGCCAGTGTTTAGCCAGTGTATTTGGTACACAAACGGTTAACAGCTCCAATGTGTTTTTAAGTTTTGAAAGATTATGTCCTCCCCCCCTCATCTGCCTCACAGCCACACTTGATATCTTACTTATTCTCCTGCTGGGAGATGTTTTTATTGTCCTCACCGACATGGAATATCCGCCCTTGCCTGAGCATAACACTGCCATAAAGATAATGAAATTGACATTAGAATTTGAAAATCGTTAGAAAATGTGCCACTTTAAGATTGGAAATTAAACTGCAATCTCAACTTTTGCATTTGAATTTCAAGTATGTCCTAATTTCAGCTTGTTTCGGATCAAATAAAATGGAAATGGCCTTTTTCATTCTTTTTAAACGATTTCTCAAAAAGTCTTGGGAAATAAATGGATGTCGAGTAAAAGTCTTAAGTATTCTATTAAAGTTAAAGTTGTGTCATTCCCAAGTGGAAAACAAACATATTTGATTCTGCATGTTTAACTTGTTGCAATACAAATATTCCAGATATTTAATAACCAGTAGGCTATTTAATTATGGTATTTCATGCATAACAAAAACCCCAACAGACTGATCATGCCTGATGAATCAATAAGAGATACTTATTTTTGCTTTTCCTCTCCATGTTTGTGTGTAATTGTGAGGATATTTTGACTATTTATTAAATTACTCTTACAGTACATCAACTATACAGCAGTACACTGTGACCAGGGGACCCAGGCATCTTTGGGCTTTTAAGCTCCAGCTGAAAGCTCATTACTCTAATCAGCTTAATTCAGTGAACCGCTCCGTCACACGACTGAGCATGTTCGGCATGAGAGGTCAGACTGTTATGGAAACACTATAATTACACACTGAAAGGATCATACAAGTGGTTCATTTGTATGTTTTTAGGCTATTTCCCTGAACTTCTGGGTTTTCTGCAGGGCAGCACACTATTAGGAATTGATTTCCTACTTAAGAAGAAAAGATTTGCTGCCGTTAAGGTTCCTGTCAATCAACGGACGCTCAGAGGGAATTTTTTTTTATGTAAATCACTATATGAACTTTTCAAATCAATGACAAATAAGTAATACCTAATGCATGGAAACATAAAGTAGATGTAATCTTAAGTCCAAGAAGCTATTTAATCAGCCAGAATATCTCCAGTTAGATATTTTCCACTGCAAGGCTCTTTCTAGGAAGAGCCCGGGAACCCTTTTCAGGAACCGCAGAGATTTTAACTTCATTCTGATCAGGCAAACCAGGATCTCAATTTACTTCCTGCATCCTGAAAAGTCTTCAGGGCAGGGAGGGGCTTTCTGGCGGCGGTATCAGCGACCGCTCACCTGCCAGGAACTACCTGTCATGTGTCGGCTAAAACACCTATGAATAGCCTTTTCCCACAACAGTAACTATCCCAGGATCTTAACCAGAGCTTGGAACTGAAGAGGACTTTCAAAATTCTTGGACTTTCTGATGGTCCTAAAAAACAAGGTGAAACTCCCCAAACAAAAATATATATTTCTTTCCCAACATCACCATCAGGACTTTCACTTTGGATGCTCTAAAACTTTAGTTGTAGCTTTTCTGCACCCTGTTACTGCTGCTTTTCCTCGAGTAAAGGATTAGAAGACTGTCGGCTGCTGCTGCTGCTATCAGCCAGCTTTGGTAGTGTCAACGAATGTCAGGAACACTAGACATAAAAACGTCATGAGAGATCAATAAAAATATCATTCTGTTTTAGATGAACAACATCAAGATTCTGTGAACTGCAATATCCAGTAATGAAGTCACATGGGAGCTTAGGGGTTTAAAGGTCTTGTGAGGAGAACAGACATGCAAACGGGCCGATCCTCGAGCGCTAAGACAACAATCACAGTGAATAACCCCGGCCTTGATCTCGCAGGAGGGGGGGATTAAAAACATTGCCTTGTTGCGTTTTATCCCCTCAGCTCATCCAGATACAGCACAGCCCACATGATGATCGCTGTGAAAAGTGCAAAGAGTCCTACATGAAAGATCAAAGTCTAAAACCAATGTTGGACCCAACTTCAGCTTCAGATTTCTAATCCTTCAACTTCTGCCGTCCTTCCCTCTTCAAACTGCAGAAGCCAATTACTTAGTCTGTTTATTCTGAGACTGAAATCCAGATTTTATGTCAACTTAAATCCCGACCCTTGCATGCTTTTTAAGAATTGAAATAATAAAATAAGTCCTTCTTCTCAGTGTCAGCTCGTTAGAAATGAAAACACCTCATTATCACTCCATGTTTCTCAAAGTCCAGTCCAGGGACCAGATGCATAAAACTCTGCTAAAACCCTGTGTACACACAATTCATTTTGGTATGCCCGTGTGCGCACATTTAGAGAGAGAAGGCAGAGAAGTAGTGCAAAGTCTTCATTCATTCTTCACTGTGTCATCATTGATTCATAACATGTATCTCTAACCTATCAGCTACACCCATAACAATCATCAGATAGGGAATCAATGATTTTGTTTAAGGGGCTTCTTCACAATAAAAGATAAATTGAAAAGAAAATCCAATCAGAAGACGGAAAATTGAGTGCATAAAATAAATAAATTAAATTCCCCTTCCACTGGCATATTTTGTGTCGACTACAAAAAGAAAAAAGAAAGAAACCTGCCAACAGACTAAACAAATTATGTTCATTTTTAAATTCTGTCCCTCACACTCATTTCATTTCAACATAACCATAAGAGAAATATAGCCTATTAAATCATATTTGGACTTTGGCTCAGAAATGGCAACCTGAACTGAAACAGCTCTCACATGGGGAAAAAAAGAGATCTACTCCAAAATAGAGCCAAGAATAATTAAGACTATTTCCAAAATGTGTTGGGCCTGAGCAGGCCGAGACAGAAAGAGAACAGCAACACCGGCAGCAGCAGCTGATAAAAAGTCCTCTTGGATCCACTGTGATATTAAGAAACGTTGATGCACAGATCGAAATATAATAATAAAAGAGTGACCACACCAGACCTGATTAGACTCAATAGAATTTAGACTTTAAAGAGACTTTTAAGTGCCCGAGCTGCAAGCTCATCGAAAACAGTGACATGTTTCATTTAGGAAATGAGGGATGATTTGTTTGTGAATGAAGCAGATCCTCTTCAGCTAATTAACAACTTTCTGTCTCAAACCAACCAGAGGGGACTGCTGTGGACTGTAAGAGCCTCGTGCTCGTGACTCCTCGGATCAAGAAAAAGCCTCTCTGAACGTCTGGGCTTACTTTTGGTCACTCTGTACGGCATGAAAGACCCCAGAGGGACGACATGTCCACCGCTGTTGATTCAGGCTTCAGAAATACAAGCAGCTAGTTTGTGCTCAGATTTAAAAAGATATAGTCAAAGAACTGGATTTATACCTTTATTACAGCCAATGATTGAATAAACATTGAGTTTAATCTGCCATTAAAGCTAATTACCCGAGATGTAATGTAGATAATACCTGCTGGATTTACACTTGCAATTACCAAGATTGCATTTATCGCTTATTTTTATTGGCCTGTAAATCCAGTGTGCTCACGATACAACTCCTCCATCATCTGAGGGCTTTCATGAGGAAGGTGACTGTGTGTGTGAGTAATTTCAGGTCATAGTCATATAAGCAGCTCTTTAAATCACAAACACATGCCAAAGTCCTTGAGCTGCAATAATATCAGTGACGTGTCAATGCTGAGTTTAACACACACATCAGACTGAAGGAAAAATATGCGTGAAATAAAATGTAGTAGGCCACATTCCTTGAAGCCACTTTTTAAAAACAATAGCTTTACCTGACTTGTCAGGGTTAATGCTAACAAATCTAATCTAGGTCACTCTACACGGGGACAGCAGCTAACGGACTAATCACAGCAGCTTCATTGCCAAGTAGGTTTACACATACAGGGAATTTGCTTTTGTGTTTGGTGCTTCACAATCAGGTCAAGGAATCATAAAGATGTGTACAATATAGCTGTCGTTTAATAATATTACAAATTTAATGTGAGCAAAAAAATTTACATGCAATGTTTCGTCCGTCATGTTTCTGCCTAATACGACGTCAACTCGGGAGGTTGTGCACCAAACGT